CAACAAGACAAGGTCTCTAATAATATTTAATTCCTAACTTATTCACCAAGATACCTAATAATAATAATAATAATAATAATAATAATAATAATAATAATAATAATAATAATAATAATAATAATTATAATAATAATAATAATAATAATAATAATAATAATAATTATAATAATAATAATAATAATAAAAATAATAATAATAATTATAATAAGAATAATAATAATAATAATAATAATAATAATAATAATAAGAAGAAGAAGAAGAATAATCCTAATAATTAAGGGCTTATCCGCATCATCGTGTCTCTCGCTCGCGAACAGAAAACAGGTGCCCCACTTCTTAAATTTCAGTCTCTTTTAGTTATCTTTTCTCGATTGTTTTAGTAGTGAGTTTGGCTTGAAAATGTGAAATTTTTCGGAGGAATAGTATGCACGAGGGTTATTGGTGTTGGAGCAGTGCGAGTCGACTCAGCCCGATGGCAATTCAAGGGTTTGGTTGAGCTTGCTCGTGCAACGTTGTGGTGTGAAAGGTGTGTGACCTGATTTTGAAACACAAAAGTAAAAGTAAAATCAAAATTTGCCATCGTCTAAGAAACATAAACATTTTTACTCAATATTTTCTGGAGATGCACCCTATAGATCATCAAACTCGTGAAAAAAAATTGACAAATGTGAGAAAAAAATTGACAAATGCACCCTATGCGTTTCTCGTTGTCCAGCCTACCTTTAAAGGCTGAACATTCAAATCTCGGCAATATTTACACGTTGTCATCCTTTGCAACCAAACCTACGTTCTAAATATTATATCTTCATTTTGATACTCAAACCATGTCGTCACAGTGAGAATACAAACTGATTTAATATCATTACCCAACAGGCAGATAATAATACATAAATGGTACATCAATTCATACCCAAATAGCCAATCATCATCATCATGAAACCTTCTAAGAGAAAAACTTTGTTTAGTGAACAAAATGAGTGATCAAATATCTAGAAAGCACAGAGACAACAAAACTATCATAAATCTTGCGCAAATGCGAAACTAAAAGCAAGAACTGATGACACATAATATCACACAAAGGGAAGAAAAAAAAAAAGGAAAACATAAATCCATACATACCCTTGTGTTCGTCTCTCAACCTTTCAGCCAAATTAGCCAAACCACCACAAAGCCTTGCCTCTGCAGCTAAGGAGCCAACAACTCCCTATAAAGTTCTCAACTCACCATATTCCGATTGCAAAACCAAATACGAGAAATGCTCGTCCAAAACCACATTAAGACATTTCACCACAGTCTCTAGAGGCGGGACCCACTTGCAGACCTCCAAACCCAAAGCCGATGATCCCTTGGGACAGGGACCCACCGGAGGGAACCTCTCCTATTTCTCAATCCACTTCCCTAAGTACCGAATCAATGCACTAATCTCTTCACCATCCAATTTCTCAACACAAGATGAAAAAATCACCTCATCCATATTAGGGGACGCCATAATGAAAACCCATCGTGTGCTAGCATGACCAAAAGTGCTGCCTCCTATGCCAAGCTAATTTCTTTCCCTTTAACCCCTTTGCCACTCGCCTTGTCGATAGCCTAATATGCTTGGTTCTCCCAATCATTTCTCACGCTAGCCAGACTCTCACGCCCCTCCACCGGCAGAATCAAGAAGTACTTCAAAATGCACATCAATTTGTAAGCTTGCAAATCGAGCAAATGGTTCACGAAACAGACGATCAAATCCGACCTCCCTTTTTTCGATCAGTTTACTAACCAAATTCGACGCGAACCCATGGTTTATAAGCCCGTTGACTATCAAAGCTTCTAGCACGTCCCAAACCTCTAAAACAATGCAGCCCTCTGCAACTAAGTCCCTAACGTCCCTACCCATCAAAACCCCCAATTTCTTGACAACATTACAATGGTACATCGGCTCGGATTTATCGAAATGTAATGAAGTTCCAACCTTTTTTTTGCAGAATTCTCTAGATATGAAGTCACCATGTCAAGAAACTCAGGCCCACGAAACGAATTCGTGTCCTTGAGCTTCCTCCTAAGCTTCTTGAAGAACCCTCGACCTAACTCGATGAGCTCGTTGTCTGATTGCGATATTTCCCAGCCGGTGGCCTTTTTCACATGGCTTTCAGATTTCGGGCCGTATGATTCGGGCTTTATCTTGGATAAAATCGGGTCCGGGTTGAGCACGATCGGGTAATCGGACTCTTGGTCGTGCAAGGCGGGGGCATCTGATGAAGCTTTTTTTTTTTACGACTTCCAGCAAAGACATTGAGATATGGAGAAGAAATGGACTCCAAGAAAGTGAAAAGGGTCGCCGCCGGAACAATTTTTAGGTCTGTTGGTAGACGAGGCGGGCGGCGGCGGTGCGACCATGGGTTTTAGTTGAGGTTTAAAAGACTTATTGCAGATCGATGCAGTGATACTCTTTTTCCTTTTTTTTTTAGTAAAAAAATTAATAAGGGTATGATTGTACTTTTACACCCTAAAATGGCTATATTTTTTTCTTTTGAAAAAGATGACTATATTTATTTTCTCTTTATAAAAAGTGCTATAAAATCGGGCCTCTGTTTTTTTTTTCTTTTCCGTTTTTCTTAATAAGTATATGTGTAACTTTCTACAAAAAAAAAATATTGTTTTTCATTTATTATCCGTTTTGTATATATAATTTTAAATAAATATTTATTTCATGATCTTAAAGAATAATTATTTTGTAAATTACTAATAACTTTATTTGCCAATAAAGGACATATATAAAGTTGAATCAAAATTAAATGTTATTTAATAGTGATTTAAAAGTAAAGGATTAATCTCAAGTTAATCATACAATAAAATAAAAATGTATATATAATAAAATTCTATTGATTATAAAATAATCTAAGATAGTAATTGGTATGTTTATCCCTCATGGGTTTTTTTTTTTTTTTCAAACGACAATTATATTAATAATTTAAAAACTCAAAAGTGTACACCTGAAGCGTCAAGAGACACACTGGAACCAGAAAACTAGACCAACCCCCCTTGTCAACACATACAGGGGGTACAAACTCCATCAAGGAGGCGAACAAAAACTACAAAAAAGAGACACAAACTCCGTAAAGGAGAGAAAAGCAGACATAGCTGCACTAGAAAGCAGACAGAGCTACACTAAAAAGCAGACATAGTTGCACTAAACGAAACATCCAAAAGAACAAAAAGAAAGAAAGAAAAAACACACACCTAATTAACAAATAAAGTAGGACCTCTCTTACATCTAACAAACCTAACACTCGGCCACCCGAGACCGCACACAAGCCACTACCACTAGCATAGAAATACAACAAAGCCACAAACCAAAACTTCAAGTCCGAAAACTGTGCCACTCGTGCCGCCTAGTCGGATCTGATGAAGAGTCTGCTCTCAATTTAGATCTGGACTCCGAAAAACCATCCACGCTAGAGGAGAAGGGGAGCCGCCCCGAAGTTGTCGAAAATTATGCCAGAGAGCTCGAAAAAGATTCAATTGCACAGCCGAGCCGCACCCGAACACCACACAAAGAGAATCCGAACCCCGACGTGTGTCATTTTATGCCACACTGAATCTAGCGCGACAGCCGACGTGTGAAGCCAATTCTTCAACACAAAGTGGGCACTTTCCACCCTACAGGTAGTTGTGTTGCCAAAATGTGTTACTTGGTTCGTCCAGGCTTTCACAAACTTCTCCTTGTGGCCTAGCCACGTCTGCTCGAGATATTGAACCACTTTTGAGTCATTCTCGTATTTTGCATTCAATTGAGCTACGATAGCGTCGTACTCATCCGGTGTACTGGCATCCATAATCGACTTCCACCGACCGCGCAAGAACCTCTCAGATAATTTTTTATTTTTCCCAAACAGGTTATACACTTTGTTTTCCACATCCTTGTTGATGTGCCACGTGCAGAGTAAGTGGGCAGATTGGGGAAAATGCCTCCTAATAGGAGTCAATAAGCCCAACTCTCTGTCACTGACAACTGCATTAGGATGCACGTGAGCAGCGGCAAAAATTAGTGAGACACGCCAAAAAAAACTCAAATTTTTTTACCATATTTTACAAAGTACTTTTATATACTAATTATTAATCATGTACTTCATATAAATCCTTACCGTATAGCCTATGAGAAGTCTCAACTTGTCCAGAACCCAATCATAACTGGCCTCTTTCTCATCCTTCATGAGGGCATACGCAATTAGAAAGTTATTGTTGCACGGCGTCATGCCAATCATCTCGACCAACGGCATCTTGTACCTGTGAAAATGAGACCAAAAGAAAAAAATTATAATCACATAAAATTTAATCCCATATACAAATTTAAATTAATACTAATAACATATATGTAAATTTAAAATACCTGTTGGTTTTGTACGTCGAATCTATGCCGACAAACCAATAATAAGTCCGGAATAGACTCACTGAATCAGGATGGGCCATGAATATGTGTGTCAGCGCATTTGTATTCGGATCGACATTTGTATAAACTATATACTTGCTGCTGCTAGCCAAATGTAGAAGTTGGGTAGGAACGTCCCTACCCTCAAAACTTTCCTTACGCAACCAGTCTCTATAGTTATATATATGTCGCCGATTAGCATGGTCGTGTGGATTTTTTTCCTGGACGGCGGCCAAAATATTTGCTGGTGTCGCATGCGCAGCAGTCATATCACGAATAATATTTTTTGATGACTGGCTTATGCCGCTCGACTGTCGATGGCCCTTAGGATACACATCAAATGAATGATTATGGTATCCCTTCGTTTCGTCTTGACTAGTGTGGATCATCCAGTATGTCGATCTGGCAACACGCTTTACTTGTATCTCAAAAGGGCACTGACACGCTTTCGTTTTTGAATGTCTAGAAACACCTTTATTCATATCTACGTTTTTGCCTCTATAACGTTCGCCTCGATCGCACTTCAAGATCTTTAGCCTTCCGGGTTTTTTGTGTTTCGAAATAGTAAAAAAGAAACCATTCAGAATTGCCGTACTTTTTGCATCCTTAATAGCCTCCTCATCACTAATAAACAGCGTAGTTGTATTGAAAGCGGAACGGTAATCAACATCTCCTCCAAAATCTTCTAAAGACACCTGCAATGTATTTAATAATTTTAAAGCATTTAAAAATAATAAAAAAATAAAAAAAATAAAAAAATGATGTCCGGCCGGTCCGACCGGCCGGACCAGGTAACAACCGGCCGTCGCGGCCGAACATCAAGTGGGCCGTACAGCCGGTCGGTTAGTACAATGATCGGTCAGTACGACCAGCTTTACCGCACGGCCAGGGGAAGGTCCGGTCGAACTGGCCGGACGCCTTTGAGGCTGTCCGGTCCGGTCGGTCGGACACCGCCATGCCCGTGCGGTAAAGCTGACCGGATGATTTTTTTTTTTTACCTCTGAGCTACTCGACATCTTGCGGAGACGACAAATGAAAAGGGCAAAATCGTTCAAAGGGGCGGTGACTAGTAATAAGGGGGACGGTAAATAGTAATGCCCTTAATTAATCTATGACGAAATGATTTGTTAGGACATTTGGTCGATAATTATTGGGGTCGAAAATAATGAACAACGGCCGAAAACTGTGTGCGAGCCATTCATTGGGACTGACCCAATGGACAAGGCGGGCCTATTAAACCAGTTGTTGGGCATGACGCAACCCATTTGGAAGAAATTTTTACATACAATGGCCCAAATGTGCAGCCAATTTGAATTAAAAGCCCATGATGGGGCAGTTTAGTAATTGATGTGGATGATAGTTGTCCTATATTCTTCTCCCATAGCACGTCCTTTTGCCTGGGAAGATGCTGCAAATCAACTTCACGTATGTTGCCGGTGTTGGTTATTTTTGTATAAATACACGGGAATCCTACGAACTGATATTTATTTTCAGTTCTTACAAATAATCTAAAAATAGAAAATTACAATTGAACTGAAAAATAAATTACAACTGAAAAACGAAAGATTCTAGCCGAGGCGAGTAAAACTCTTTTCGCAAGAAGAATACGCCCCGTGTGGCAGCTAACGGTTCAGGCGTAACTTCCCCAAAGATACAACGACAAACGTCTCTAAATTTGTAGCACACCAGATTTACGAGCTCCGGCGAACGGGAACGGAGTCGAGAATTGAGCACTTAGAAATTAAAAGGAATATTCTGAAACAAATAAAAATATCACTTGTTTCTTTTCTTTGATATTTTTATATCCGATATTTGGACATAAATATTTCTATCCTTTCTTTTCTCTTTCTTTGTTCTCTCTTTCTTTCTCTATTTGGTGCCTTTTTTCTCTACTGGTTGAATGCCTATTTATAGACAGAGCGATCAGATAAAGCCTGGCCATACAGAAGTTAACGCCTCGCCATTCATTATTACATCAAAACATATATAATGCAAGTTGACATGTGGCCCATTGGAAGAAGAATCTTCACACGTTATTGAGCTGCCAAATTTGATCATTAAATTATAATGTTGGGACCCATATTAGTTAATGAAACTCAATTATTACTTACAATCCCCCACATGAGTTTCAATAAATATATATAGACTATTGTGCTCAATCCTCACAAAACTCTATTGCATCAGAAAAGGTAGCTTTTGGCTTTGAACCTTTCTTAGTAAACATCATCGGATGCACTGGCGGCCTAGTGGACATAATGCCTTGAACTATTCCTCCATAGTGTACACCAAGACAATGACATTCACACAATAGAGTTTTAACTCCATTCCGTTCTATCGTTGTGTCCGTTTTGGCCATGGACAACACAATGGATTCATAAGTGTTTACATTTGAAGCGGCCCACACTTCACACTTATATAGGTGACCTCCCTATCAAGAGTATCCTGTCTTACTCCATCTTTACAAGGTTAGGGATTCATTAAAAGTCCAAATGACTTACCCTTACCACAATCAACAGGTAATTTTGCACTTAGTGTGCTCTAGGGAATAGCTTTGGACAATCATATGTTCCAAGTGCTTGACTGAATTTTCATAGCTTAGTTTTCCCTTTGAACCAAGTTTGTGGGATCTCCACTCAGCATAGTAGGGTTACCACTATGATCATTCTTTACATTGTGGATTTTTAAGCCCATTCCCTCTAGCAGAACAGTCAATTGATCTCTATTCAATCCTTTCGTCAAAGGATCAACCAAATTTTCCTTAGAATTCATATAGTCAATGAAAATAATACCATTTATGATCAATTGACGTACGGTATTATGTCTACGACGAATATGTCTAGACTTACCGTTATACAAATTGCTTTGCGCCCTACCTATAGCAGCTTGGCTATCACAGTGAATCATCACAGGCGGCAAAGTCTTATCCCAACATGGAATATCAGATAAAAATTTCTAAGCCACTCGGCTT